CCAGTTTTACCGCTGAACCATCTGTGGGCCTCACATACGTATTGACGTGTTTAATATTTAACTAACATATTTTAAGAAAACGATTTTTTGTGTAATTTTGATCAATAAACAGAGAAAAGCAATCTTCAAGTTTTTGTTTGACTGATAATTACTAGCCATGATACTTATCAAACCCTAAAGAAAAGTTTTTTCACGTAGGTTTCTGAACAAACCCCTAAGATCGATAACTTCTTCACCAACAACGTCGAGATAAACCCTTGGTTGTTCACCATTGTGTTCAAGTAAATAGTTATCAGTTATTATACTAACAAACAGGTTGACGTAAACAATTTTTATTTTGTTTCAATAACAAGCAGATAGCATCACCTGACCTGTTGAGCAAAATGTTTATATAACTAAAAAAGGAAAGAAAAAAAGCAGTATCTACTTGTTGTTAGTTAATACGTCGAGTAAATAAATGTTTAACTGCTTTTTAAAAGGCATGTGGACATAATTAATTTTTACCAATATGTTGATGTAAGTAATCATCAGATGTGTACTTGTTTATTAACATGTTAAAATAGTAAATCATTAAGTGTGTACCTGTTTATCAATGTGCTGAACTAATAGATTATCAGATGTTTGCTTATTTATTAACACGCTGAAATAGCAAATCATCAAGTGTGTATCTGTTTATTAGTATGTTAAAATATCAAATTATCAGGTATGTTCCTGTTTATCAACATGTTAAAATGGCAAATCGTGAGGTGTGTGCCTGTTTATAAACATACTAAAATAGCAAATCATCAGGTGTCTGCTTGTTTATTAACATGTTGAAATAGCATATCACCAGGTGTGTGCCTGTTTATCAACTTGTTGAAATGGCAGATCATCAGGTGTACGATTGTTTATTAGCATGTTGAAATAGCAGACAACCTTCTATCGTTTTGACCACCATGCTGAGAAAGCCAGAGTTCATGTATCCTATTGAAGACACGAAGTGCTAACAAAGCTTCACCAGTTTCGTAATGGTCATGATAAGCAATCTTCGTATACGTGTTTTTGGACCAACAAGTTCTCAGATAACTACTCATCATGCAGGAATCAACGTGTGATAGAAGTTACCTATGCCCTATATATAAATGTTAAAAGTATAACAGAAGCCTATAACAATTTTACAGGCGACGTTGAGGCCCACAGGTATACCAGAAATTGATAAATTTATCGAAAACAATTTATTGTTAGTTTGGTAGTAAAGTGTAGTATTCTATCCGTGAATAGTAAATTTAATTCAAAAAATACACGTGTAACAGAAAGTATATGTACATTAGAAGAACAGTAAGAATTTAAAAAGTGTAAAATACGAGAAGCTAAAATCATTTTAAATTATACAAATCAAACAGACACCTACACATATGACAAAACTCGTGCCTGAAATCGATGTGCGTGGTAAAGGTGAAACCATATATCGAAAGTAAATGATGCATGCTGTTCCACAACATCAATTCGTCCTTTTTTAAAATAAATTTTTTGTTTGTTCTTCGTTGTACTAAAACACTGGTTCAATATTTGCTAAAACTGTTTGTGAGTTGTTTTGAAAAATATATGTAAAAATGAAAACGAAGAAGGATAGCGAAACTTTCCACCTCCACTTGAGATATTGTTGTCCTCCTGACCTAACAAACCAGAATTTTATCGATATTGTTCTTTCGTTGTAATTGGCTATAATTTTTGACCCATTTTTGACTATCATTTCCATGAACGACAATCTGCTGTTACGATCGTCATTTAATATATATCTTGACTATTACAAAGGAAAAACGTCTTATGAGAGTAAAAGTTGGCTAATTCTTAATTTCACTTCAATGAAGATGGACCATGGAACGCTGATGAGCTTTTAAAGGTAAGTTTCAATACACCAGTAAGTACTGTAATTGTGAAACATTACAATACTCCACGTGGGCAAGTGAAAACGAGGTTAATGTGCTATAATCATAATTTAAACCTATACTAACCCACAAACGCACTAAATAGTTAATTTCACGATAATATTTCACAGTGATCACATAACCATAAAATTGTACTTGAGAAACATAATTTGATAGTAAATTAATAAATCACGTATTTCGTAAGAAGGAATAGCACGATCCTTAAAACACTTTAACAATAATTACACAGTTAGTAAGTAACATGGAGCACGAAAATAAGAAGTTGAACAACAATTTAAACCGTTAGAATACAATACTAATAACAAAGTTACCGCGTACATTGACAATGGTTTAAAATATTATAATTCTCTTCTACGCTTCTACAAAGTTATTCACATTAACTATCATTACACGGAACAATAAACTATTTCGCAATTCTTAAACGTTGTCGAAACATTGATAAAGCTCAAAATATACTTTTTGATTTAAAACAAAAAACACACACCTCAATAGTGATTAAACTCATTTTTTCCAACATGGATGAAAAAAGCCACTTCACAATGTTTATCTTAAGAAAACAACATAACGCATGGTACAAAAAAATCATGTTTAACTTTCATCAGTTCTTAACATGTTATGTATTGTTACGACAGTGGAAGTCACGCGACGCTGGAAGCATGCGCGCTGGAGTTTCTAGAAGGATCGGGAAACCTCACGAATATCCCAGTATTTGCTAGATGCCCTCTTTTTTTAGTATATAAGCCGGATATAGATTGAAGAGGTATAATTGATAAAATGGAGTCAAACGAGCAGTGGGCACAGTAAGTAAAGTGTGTGAATCGCTGTGAATTATAGCGTTTATAAAAGTAGTTAAGTTTAAAGTGACT